ACATCGTCATGTAAATGTCACCAGACGAGGATTCGAACATTTACCAGCAATGCAACATAGCCATCTATTCGCCTTTAACCCTCCCCCCCCCCCCCCCCCCAGTTCCAGCAGAGCGGTGCCAGACCTGTAGACGAGGAGCCGGGCGACGGGCCCAGGAATGAGCGGATGTCGGCGTACGGCCGCGCCCGCTGGCTGCGGAACGTGCTGCGCTGGCCGTCCTGGGCCGCCTCCTCCGCGCCGTCAGCCTGCCGGCCGGGGCGCCGCGTCACCGCCGGCTGCGTCATCGGCCGTCTCCGGCCGACGTGTGCACCCTCAGTCATCACAGGCGGGGCCGGACCGCGCCAGCGTCCGACTGCTGCTGGCCAGGCCTACCAGGGCACGGTACGGCCAGACGCGCCCCAGACGGCAGCGGTGGGAGTGCGGCCACACGGAGTGCGGCCCTCAGTGAACGGTGCAATCAATGATGTTCTTTCCACCCCATACAAAGAATTGTTTCAGTCCACACATACACGCGCACACACACGCCCAGATGAACCACACGAGAAACAATACGGAGTCCAACTGCTGTGGTAGGCTCGACTATAAGATTATTAACATCTGCGCCTCTCAGCAAGCAGGCCATAAACATCGCAATTCTTCCATTTACGACAAGCTCGATGACAACAGCTTTCAACTCGGCAAAAAAAATCATCGGCTGACGAACGACATACACTTCCACCAATAACGTCCCACGCCAAGTGCGTAAAGGGTGGAAATCACCTCAGACCCCGTGACCCCCCCCCCTCGCTCATTCAGCGGCGCACTCACGCCACACCGCTCGTCCCTTCCCCGTGCACTCAGCGCACAATCTCCCCGCCCCCCGTGCAGCCCCTCCCAGCGCGGCCCGGGCCGGGCGGAGCCGTACCGCGGCGGCGGCCGGCGGCGGCGGCGGCGGCGGCGCAGCCTCGGCGCGCGTCATCGCCGTTACGTCGTCGATGGACGGGTGCTCGAGCATCCACGAGGCCAGCTGGTTCACGGCGTGCGCCGACATGTCGCCGGTGCGGCCTGCGCAGAGTCAGAGTCAGAGTCAGAATCAGAGTCAGACGGTCGACACGCCACGCCTGACCACTTCCAAAATGAGCGGCGGAGAGCCTCGGCACGGCGACGTAACAGAATAACTTATGTACCGAACCATGGCCTTTCATGCCCGAAAATAGCCTACAAAACCGAGGACTGACTCTCCCCTCGATGACACAAAACGATGTACCGAACACGCACTGCTACTTTGAACCGTCCCGCTGGTGAACGGCGGCTGATAGTCGCCGTGGCTTCAGTTGGCGTCCCTTCCATTCACGACAGAGAAACAAGCACGGCTTGATCTCGACACCGCCCACTTTTGCGGCACGACTCCACGCGGGGAGCTGACCGCCGACGCCCCGGCCGACTCACACAGCACGCCGATCGGCCGACTCACACAGCACGCCGATCGGCCCACTCACACAGCACGCCGATCAGCCGACTCACCCAGCACGCTGATCGCCCGTTGTATGTGCCGCAGCGAGAAGCCCATCTCGAGCAGCGGCAGCGCCACGGGCGGCGGCGGCGGCGACGGCGAGCGGGTGGCGGCCGCTGGCGACGGTCCGGCCGGGTGTCTGCCGGCGCCGCGCCGAGGGACGCCTCACACATCACGCGCGGTTTGCCGCGGTCACGTCACACGCACGTCACACGTCACACGTCATCAGCACGCTGCTGCGGCGCTGCACCTCTCACCAACAGAGCGGCGCCAGCTGTCTGGCGCCACCGCGTCTTACGAACAGCCCGCGTAATAGCCGACGCACAGGTTCAGCACAGCCATGTGTATCGCACGGAGCAGCGTGATCCCACACTCCGTGCAGTACAGCGGCACCACACCGCTTGCGCATGGGTCTCATGCGGCTCTCCAGGGCATCATGTACTCGTGGGTCGCACATGACGGCGACCGAGCCTATGCCGCCACACCGGGTGAGTTTGAAGGAAGGCCCGAGCAAGCTAGCTTACCGGGCTACGATACACAACGGACCGGTAGAAGGAGAGAACGCCACGGAGACACAGGGAACGAGCTTGCCAGGTGAAGTTTCGCAGCGGAGCGAGCATGTCACATGGGGACTGTTAGAGAATATAGTGTCCAGTACCGATGCAAAGATAGAAACCGGGGGAGCTTGTGCAGGCGGCGAACCGGGCCCACCTGTGCCTGGCGGCGGCGGGCGGCGCCGGCGGCGATGGAGAGGGCCCGGGCGAGGCGGCGCCGGTGGCGGCGGCGGCCACGGCAGCGGCGGCAGCGGCGGTCGCCGGCCGCGGCGGCAGCTGACTGACCGCCTGGCTCCACCAGCCGGTGGCGCCCGCCGAGAGCGAGGGCGGCACCAGCGCCGAGTCCGAGGGTGCCGAGCCGCCCGACTCCGCCTGCCGCCGGCGCCGCACGGTCAGCGCGCGGCGGCCGACGGTCGGCACTCGCGAGGAGGCGGCGCCACGACACCGCGGCCGCGCAGGCGACAGCGGGAACACGGCTGGGGCGGCCAACACACCGGTGACATCACAGAGCACCCCTGAAGCCCCAACTTAGCCCCAACTTCAGGTGGGGCGGCAGGCGCCACGGCCGGGCCATCCCACCCACCAGCAGTGACAGACCACCCGACGCTGGGACACGTCAGGACCGTGTCATCCAGCGGACGCCATTACGCTCGGTCACAAAGAGACCGATATAGAGCAGACCGAAACACCGGCGGCTGACCATGTCAACAAACACGAGATTTCCTCCACTCTTTGAGTACGCGATGTACGCTCGCACCGTGTGGTCCTCTGGCTGGAGGTGTCCGCGAGGCGCCGGGGACCCAGCTGCACACCGTGCGGTGTCCACCGTGATCCCGTGTGACCCTGACAAGGCAGCCTTACCCGCAGCACCGAGTACCGGCTGGCCGGCCGGGCGCTGAGCAGGGCGGCGATCTGGCTCTCCGTCTGCCGCACGCGGCAGCCGTTCTCCGCCAGGTGCCGCAGGTGCGCCGAGTGCAGCACCATCAGCGCCCGCTCCAGCTCGGCGGCCGACACCAGGCTGAGGTCAGGTCAGGCCAGGTCTGGTCAGGTCAGGTCAGATCAGGTCAGGTCAAGTCGGAACCATCAGCGCTCGCTCCAGCTCGGCGGCCGACACCAGGCTGAGGGCAGGGCAGGTCAGGTCAGGCCAGGTCAAGTCAGCACCATCAGCGCTCGCTCCAGCTCGGCGGCCGACACCAGGCTGAGGGCAGGTCAGGTCAGGTCAGGTCAGGTCAGGTCAGGTCAAGTCGGAACCATCAGCGCTCGCTCCAGCTCGGCGGCCGACACCAGGCTAAGGGCAGGTCAGGTCAGGTCAGCTCCACATCCGACACCAGGCGTCTGTTGAGACGTCCAGTGACAGTGACAGTGACAGTGAGTGGCAATGCCACGCCACCTGACGCGCGGCTGGGCAGCACACCATCCGTCGTGCCCAGGCCTGATGTTACCCACTCTGATGGAACTGATACGACTTGATGATATCACACTCGCCCGGGCTTGGCTCGGACGTGTCCCCGATGTGCTTCAATGGCGGCCGGCGCCGTAACATGGCGTCACTCACCGTCTGATGGGGCTGGACTTGATGACGTCACTCAGAGTCTGATGGGGCTGGGCCTGATGACGTAACTCACCGTCTGATGGGGCTGGACTTGATGGCGGCCGACACCATGTGTGTGACGGCGCGGCGCAGCTCGGCGCGCAGCTCGTCGGCTGTCTCCTCGGCCGCCTCGTCGGCCGGCTCCTTCTCCTTGTGAGCGGGGCCCGGGCCAGCGGCCGGGTACAGCAGGTCGGCCACCGACGCCTCCCCCAGCAGCACCGACAGCGCCTTCAGAGCCGACGTCTGGCCGCACGGCACGCGCAGTCATCGAGCGCTCCAGAACGCGAGTCGTCACGGGGTTCATAACCCACCGGTTATGAAGACGCTACGCGAAATTGCAAAAAGGAGGCAAGAGCTGACAGCCCGAACCAACACTCTGAGCACCATCCCATACGGTGGCACGCCCCTCAGCCCGCCTGAGTCTCCGGTGGAACTGGGGACGGGTCGGGTCCCCGGAGGCCGCCCTAATCCAGCGCCTGACTGCTAGCCGTGGCTGCAGCCGGCGTCTCTGCGAACAGTACCGGCCCAGCGGCCGTGCCGGCACGACAGCGTACCGCTCGGACACCACCCGGCGGGTCATGCCCCCAGCACCTCAACTCAAGCCCTCGATCCAGCACGAGAGCCTGCCACTCGGACGCCACCCGGCGGGCCATGCCCCCAGCACCCCAACTCAAGCCCTCGATCCGGCACGAGAGCGCGCCGCTAGGACGCCACCCGGCGGGCCATGCCCCCAGCACTTCAACTCGAGCCCTCGATCCAGCACGAGAGCGCGCCGCTCGGACGCCACTCGGCGTGTCGTGCCCCCAGCACCTCAACTCGAGCCCTCGATCCAGGCTGAGATCGCGGGCCGCGGGGCGTTTCTGACCACTCCCCGAGCCGAGCCCCGGCGACCGCCGCTCGCCGGCTGCCGCTGGACCCACCTGCAGCAGCGCGCCGCGCACCATCAGCTCCTCGCTGGCCAGCTGGAGGGCGGCGGCCGAGGCCGGCTCCGGCTCCTGCGCCGGACCCGCCTCCAGACGGCCGGCGCCGCGGCCCGTCACCTGGCGAGCCGACAGAGACGAGCGGGGTCAGTGCGGCCGCGAGCACAGCCGCTCTCGAGAGCCCGCGGCAGCTGGCACCACACACAGCCAAGCTGAGAGCGTGAGCGCGGTCGTGGACTAGCGCCACTGCCGTGTACAGCCACAAGGAATAGGCACTTGACGTTCCCGTAGCTAGCGCTCCACACGGTGTCCACGACAGGCCGGCGCCGGGCCGCCGCCGCCGCCGCGCCCACCTCGCCCATAATGTTGGCCACGAGCTCGTCGGTGAGCGCCTCCATGGTGACGAGGCTGTGCGACTGCCGCACCGGCTGGCGGCCGGCGTCGTCGGGCGGGCCGGCCTCGGCGCGCGACGGGCCGGCGCTGCGGCACTGGGTGACGGGCCGGGCAGGCGGGCTGACGTCCGGCGTCGGTCGCTCCGCCTCACCAGCCGCCGCAGTCATCAGGTCCACCTGCGCGGCGGCGGGAGGTGTCAGACGGCCGCACGCGCCGCCGCTCGGCAGCAGGTGCTTCGCCCAAGAGGCGGCGAGTCGTCGCGCCTACCTGCGTCGTTGGTGAGGAACGAGCTGTGAGGACGGGAGAACTAAAAACTTCGCATGAATACACCGTCCGTTCGCAGAGCAATGATCTGGTTTGACTAAAACCCAAAATGGCACTGCGCTTCATTTCTTGCCATGCACGCCTACCGCTTCCTTCCAGGTGACCAAAGCCCACAATATACACGAGTTTCCGCGCCATTTCGATGGCTGCCAGCATCAGGCCATAATGGCCAGGTATCTGCACCGCGCCAGCCCACACCGCCTCCAGTCCCCGGTCCGGCCGGCACCTCGTCGGTGATGCCGGAGAGCCGGGACAGCTGGCGGATGACGCCAGCCGACAGGGCGCCTAGTCTGGAGACGACGAACGGCGGCGGCTCGCACGGCTGCAGGCTGCTGACGGCCGCGTCACTAGCGGCGGAGCGGAGACTGTCAGAGGCCGACCGGCGGCTCAGAGACACGGCGGGCCGGCGGCTCAGAGAGACACGGCGGCACGGAGACTGTCAGAGGCGGACTGGCGGCTCAGAGACACGGCGGCACGGAGACCGTCAGAGGCGGACCGGCGGCTCAGAGACATGGCGGACCGGCGGCTCAGAGACACGGCGGACCGGCGGCTCAGAGACACGGCGGACCGGCGGCTCAGAGACACGGCGTACTGGCGGCTCTAAGAGATGCGGCGACCAGGTGGCTCAGAGAGGCTCAGCGGCCCGGCGGCTCAGAGAGACACGGCAGCCCGGCGGCTCAGAGCCGCGGCGGCCCGGCAGCTCAGAGAGACACGGCGGCCCGGCGGCTCAGAGACACAGCGGCACGGAGACTGTCAGAGGCCGACTGGCGGCTCAGAGAGACACGGCAGCCCGGCGGCTCAGAGACGCGGCGGCCCGGTGGCTCAGAGACACGGCGGCCCGGCAGCTCAGAGAGACACGGCGGCTCGGCGGCTCAGAGACACAGCGGCACGGAGACTGTCAGAGGCCGACTGGCGGCTCAGAGAGACACGGCAGCCCGGCGGCTCAGAGACGCGGCGGCCCGGTGGCTCAGAGACGCGGCGGCCCGGCAGCTCAGAGAGACACGGCGGCCCGGCGGCTCAGAGACACAGCGGCACGGAGACTGTCAGAGGCCGACTGGCGGCTCAGAGAGACACGGCAGCCCGGCGGCTCAGAGAGATACGGCAGCCCGGAGGCTCAGAGAGACACGGCAGACTGGCGACTCAGGGACACGGCGGCCCGGCGGCTCCGAGAGACACGGCGGCCCGGCGGCTCAGAAAGACACGGCGGCACGACAGATTCTGGTGGAGACGTGACGGACGGACAGACAGGCCGGCTCTGATTGGGACGTGACAGACGGACAGACGGACCGGCTCTGATTGGGACGTGACGGACGGACAGACGGACCGGCTCTGATAAGGACGTGACGGACGGACAGACGGACCGGCTCTGATTGGGACGTGACGGGTGTGACGTGTGGACTTCGCTCTGGTGAGGGCGTGGTGGACATGACAGGTGTAACTGGCCTGGACAGACGGACCAACAGATCAGTCCAGCTTTACCAGACCCGGGCCGTGGCATAGAGGTCCAAGTTCTTAGCACACGACGGTCGTGATATGCAAAATAATCTGACAGACAGGAGCCGCACGAGCCATAGTTATCTGACAGACAACGGCCACAAGAGACATAGTAATCTGATGTACAGGAGCCGCATGAGACATAGCTCTAACAGACAGCAGCCGTAAGAGACATACTACTCAAACAGACAGGAGCCGCACGAGAAATAGTTATCTGACAGACAGCAGTCGCAAAAGACGTGGCTCTGACAGACAGGAGCCGTAACGGACATGGGCTGGGGCTCCGAGAAACAGACATGGCAGGCCTCACAGATCCATGCCAGCAAGTACGAGTACAATGTCATGGAAGTAGTGTCATCACAGCACGATATCGGGCCACCTACACAGGATCGTAAAAACATGTACCCATCACAGCAAACCCAGTGGCCCTGCGAAATCAGATCGGATCGTGCTTAAGCAGCCAGAGTTCGTCGGGTCCTGAGCCCACACCATCATAACGGTAACCAGGCCGGACCTCAGTACCCTACGGCGACGCCACGTGACCCGGCCTCGTGCCGAGACACGACCTGATCATCATCTCTCGACCCCACCTGATAACCGGACGGGAACAGACCTGACCGGCACTGTGCGCCGGCCAGCCCCCTCGCTGTGGACTAACCACCACGCCACGACTTGACCACCGGCCACTGAGTAATCTGGCCACTGAGCCGTGGCCTGACCTAGCCGCAGGCCATGCCCTGAAGCGCCGCAGCCCGCTGACCTGACGGTGGCCTCGCCGTCCTCCCACTGCAGTCTGACCGACGACACGCCCTGCTTCAGCATGCCGAGCAGCACGGCCCGCCGCGCGGAGGAGCGGTGCAGGCAGACGCCGCCCACGCGCAGGCCCCGGTCCACGCCTGCCATGACGGCCAGTGCCGGCAGCACCTGGGCCGGGCGGCGCCGGAGGTCAGCGGCGGAGAGGAGCGCCAGTGCGCGGCCCCCACACCGGCCCGTCGGCCACGGCCGGGTCTGGGCTGGGCAGGGGTGTGCAAGGACCAAACGTGGTGACGAATGAAGCAGCTCTGGCGAATCATGGACGGATATTTTTGTGAACGCCTTCATCGAAACACGAGAAAAAAACCATGCAGCGAGGAGCATTTGTGCTACAACATTTGAGAAACGTATGGACACACAATGGCGCATGCCGCACACGATAATGACCAACTCTGCCTGTTTCAGCCAGCTACCAGGCACGTCTAGGCCAGCTAGGCCAGCAGCCCAGGCCCGGCCAGATTAACGTGCCCTTCAGGCGGCGAGCCCACCCTCCAAGCCGCTGGTGCGTCTCACCTCCTTGCAGAGGTGGCGGACCGGACTCTGGCGGGTATCACCTCCCTACAGAGGCGGCGGACCGGACTCTGGCGGGTCTCACCTCCCTGCAGAGGCGGCGGACCAGAGTGCGGCGCGGTCCGCCGACCGCCGGCTCATCCTCGCCATCGGCCGCGCCAGCCTCGGGGTCGGCCTCGGCCGCCTCCTCCTCGATGGGCATCATGCCGACCTCGGCCGGCCGGCGCCGCTCCGACTCGGACGAGAGCGAGTGGCGCGCCTCCTCGGCGCCGCTCGGCGACGTCTCCGCCGCCTGAAGACCGGCGCTCCGTCAAAGCCCGGCTCCTCACGGAAGCGGCCATCGGCGGAGCCCGCCACGGCCCCCTGCGCTGGCAGCGCATGGCCAGCATCGCTCGCCCTCAACACGATTTGATACAATCCCTCATAGCATGATTATGTGCTCTCCGCACTTTCGAATTCCACAACCGGGATCACTCCACTACGTTTCTCCCAGCCACACAACGTCACGCGGACTGTCTGGGTGTAGGGTCTGCCGGCCCGTTTCAGCGGGGGCAGTGATACAGCGTGAAGGCAGCCGCTCTCTACGTCGGTGTACATGTCTTTCCTGCCGCGGAGATGAAGGCTTAGCAAGTAACTAGGAGGGAGGCAATGCATGCACTGGCTGAGGTAGCCAAATCGGAGGCTAAAAATTGAGCACGTCAGGTATACATTACGCTTCCGCCAGCTGCACGGATGCGTGTCCGCCACAGATACTCGGCCCCAGACCGTCACACTGCCTTCTCTTCGGCCAAAGCGTACCGTATCGGGGCTGTCACCATCCTTGTCGGCTGTAGGCATCAACTCCTTGATCCGGGATAGTCGGCGCAGCAAGCATTTGTTCACCTGGCGAGGAAAACCAGGGCCGTCACACCGCGGGCCCAGCCTCTGGAACCGAAGGCTGGTGTTCCGCGGTCACAGAGCGCTGTCGCCTGGCTCGACCGGCAGAACACCAGCTCCGACTCACCGACAGTACAATGACCCACAGCTCACTGCGAAAACAGCGCCGCGCACTGACCGCTCGAGCTCCGGCCCCTCACGCAGTCCAGCGGCCGTGCAGGGAGCTCACGTGTTCCGTCCAGGCGGGCGTGCTGTGCAGCGTGCGGATGAGCGCCACGTGCGCCTCCAGCAGGACGGCGGCGGCCGGCGCGCACAGCGGCTCCCCGGCCAGCAGGTCCCGGGGCGAGCCCCGCAGCTGCATGTCCGTCATCTTCACCTGAGCTCAGCGCACGGAAACGGCCGTCAGCCTGCGCCCGCGGCGGCGGGCGCGGCACTCCGCTGGCGTCCCGAATCAGAGGGGCGGGCCGGTTCGGTTCGGTAGTAGTTTTCGGGACACCGACGACGTACAGAGCCCACAAATGCCGCATGCTCGATGTTCTCGGCCGTCTCCGGATTAAGTTGTATTCAACTACTCATTGACAACGGCGTAATGCACTATCGAACCATATCCCGCACGTGAACCAGCCGTACGCATTCAACTATCTCAATTCTCTAGATCTCGGACGAGGACCAGCACGACACCAGACCCCCGGTCACACCGCTCGCGGCCCCTTCCCATCGCTCCGCCTCAGCGGCCCGCACTGGCGAGCAGCGTACGGCTGAGAGCCGAGACGGGCGTCGACGCCAGCCGGGCCCCACCTTCTCGCCGGGGTTGGTGCTGTAGAACATGACGCAGGGGAACAGCTCGGCCGCGTCGATGTCCTCGAACGCGACGCGCGGCTCGTCGCCGTTCTTGCCGAAGCTGAGTGACCTGCTGTCCATGTCCAGCACGCAGGTGATGTAGTCGCCCTGCGTGAAGGATGGCAGGCTGGAGGCCAGCTCGCCGCCGTGGTAGACGTTGCCGCTGCCGGAAGGAGCACGTGCGTGAGGGTGTCAGTGGCGGCACAACGTCGTCGGTCCGCGCCCGCAACTGCTGAGGGTCTGTGAGTACGACGACGGCCGGCCAGAGACACGCTCCCCGCGAGTGCAGAAGCGGAACGACACACTTCGCCGCGAGCGTGACTACCCCGGGGAAACAGGCAGACAGATCATTAATGTAGCCGCAGCGGACACTGCCATACCCTGCCGGATATGTCGCCAGTGCAGCTACAGACTAGCAACGCACACTAGGCAGGGTCCTGCAGCACGTCTCTCCGCCACCGCGCAGCCGCACAGACGACGCATCTCAAGCTCTCAGCCCGCCAGCCCACTCCTGTCACACTGGCCGCAGTCGCGCGGGACACGATCGCCCTCCGTACAGCCGACCCCCCGCCGGCGGTGTCGGGGACGGGACCTCCGGCGGCGGACGGCGGCGCCCCGCAGCGGCGACCAGGCCTCACCTGTAGGCCCGGTATAGCCACATGTCGCTGGTGGTGCGGTGACTGTAGTCCCGGATGGGCACGCGCGCCACGCCCACGCACGTGCCCTCGTTGCCGCGGGTCTCTCGCACGATCAGGAACTTCCACTGGTAGCAGCCTGGTGGCGGGAGAGGGGGAGTGGGGTCGGGCTGAGGCCTCCCGGCGGCCGGCCGGCGCGCTGACGAGCCACCGGTGACGGCACCACCGACCGGCAGCCCTGTCCTGCCCTGCCCTGCCCCGCCCTGCCCTCCCATCCCCTGCACTACCCTGCTCTGTCCTGTCCTGTCCTGTCCTGTCCTTCCTGTCCTGTCCTGCCCTGCCCTGCCCTGCCCTGCCCTGCCCTGCCCCGCCCTGCCCGCCGGCCTGACCTGACTTGATGCCGGTCGTGCCGAGCCCGTAGCCCTTGCCGCCCTGTGAGTGCACCAGCGTCTGGCCGTTCTCGACGGTGCAGTAGAGGCAGCGGTCCGAGTCGAAGCCGGCCTCGTGCACCGGCACGCTGTTCTCGGCGGCGTCCGCCTCCACCGACCACTCTGCGGCGCCGGCCAGGCGGCGTCAGCCGACCGACCGTCGAACACGGCCAACACGCGCAGTGTGCACCCCTCACGGCGCGCGCGGCAGCAGGCGGAGCACGTAACCGTGGTCACACGCGGCAGGGCGGCCCATGCCGCACGGACATCACGCCGTAGCAAAACGTTTCAGTGGCAGCCCAAATAGAACGGCTATTAATGACATGACTGAGTCGTCTGGCATTGTTTCCATCAACATAAAACGCGACGCTGGATGAGAGTGACCCACAGAGGCCAGCCGACAAGGGCCAGCCCCTCGCCGCCGCGGCGCCGCGGCCGTCAGCTGACCTGGGCTGCTGAGCCGCAGCAGGCGGCGGCGGAGGTCGCGCTCGCGGCGGGCGGCCACCAGCCGCGCCACGGCGCGCGGGATCACCCACAGGCTGTCCGACAGCTGGTGGAACAGCTCGGACGCCAGCTGCGGGCGGGCGGCGGCGCCGTCAGGCGGGCGTGCTCGCGCGCGGGCGGCAGTTCCGGCCACGGCGGGGGCGCGGCGGCGACGCGCCAGTCGTCGCGGTGGTAACGCAGTGGGCTGCACCAGGCCGACTGGCCAATATAGCCGATACAAACCCCGCACGAGTCTGATACAAACACGCTGGAGGGTTTTTTAAACAAAATGCTCTTTTGTGGTTACACGGTCTGACGTAACGATATAAGTTGATTCCCGAGGTTGCAACGGTCACTATCAAATAGGTATTTCATAGCCATGTGTCATTATTTTAGAAGCGATATTTAACGACATCACATTAAATGAGACCCACATACGTTAAACACGGGAAACCGAGTAACTAACGGATGTCATCATAAAGCAAGAAATATCCGCCTTAAACATCCTGTATGTTCACAGAGCATGTGACCACGTGAGCGTCTGCCTCTTAAGACATCCACATATCATGTGACCATTACCTGTGCGGCGTAGGCGCGGTCCTCTTTTGTGTCGAGCGATGGCAGCACAGTGCCCAGCAGCTGCAGGGCCAGGAGCCGAGGCCGCAGCGCCTGAATCCTCCGGGTCCCGGGCTCGGGCACCTGGCCCGGACACGTAACACTTGTCACACAGCATAACCAGCCAGTGACAGCCGAGGCCGCAGCGCCTGAATCCTCCGGGTCCCAGGCTCGGGCACCTGGCCCGGACACGTAACACTTGTCACACAGCATAACCAGCCAGTGACAGCCGAGGCCGCAGCGCCTGAATCCTCCGGGTCCCAGGCTCGGGCACCTGGCCCGGACACGTAACACTTGTCACACAGCATAATCAGCCAGTGACAGCCGAGGCCGCAGCGCCTGAATCCTCCGGGTCCCAGGCTCGGGCACCTGGCCCGGACACGTAACACTTGTCACACAGCATAACCAGCCAGTGACAGCCGAGGTCGCAGCGCCTGAATCCTCCGGGTCCCAGGCTCGGGCACCTATCCCGGACACATAACACAGGTCACACAGCGTAGTCAACCAATAACATCCAACGCCTGATGTCTTCTGGTTTGGCCTGGGTTAGGGCCATCAATTACCTTCTGATGGGCATAGGGTTACGAAGGGAGGTGAGTAGTGAATGCCGCAGCAATGCGGGCGGCCGCCGTGGAAGGGGTCGGGGGTTGCGATAGTTCAGAATGATGCGGTGTGTGAGGAAAAAGAGCCAGATAATGTAAGTCGTAAAACAGCGCAAATCGTTTAGTGCAGTGGGGTCTTAAGCCATGTGATACATGAGGATCAATTCGCCGACTGTCCCCATTCAACTCACACATCACCGACGCAAACACAATAGCCACCTTTCAAAACCCTTTCAAGACCGGCTAGCACAAGCTCCGCGTGTTCGGGGGCAGCGGAGTGACGGGCGTGGTCGCCGCTGCTGCGTCCGCCTGCGCCGGCGCGGGGCGCAACAGCAGCTGATGGGGTCGGACACGGGCTCCGCCACCCACCTGGCCACAGATGCGCAGCAGGAGGCCGGTCCAGGCGTGCGAGGTCATGCGGCGGCGCACCGAGGCCGTGCTGGCCACGTGACGCACAAACACGAGCAGGTCCCCCAGCGAGCTCTCGGCCGCTCGGGCCGTGCTGGTCAGCCGACGCGACTGCCACACCGGGGGCCGGGAGGAGCCCTGCCGGTGACAAGGGGTGGTCACCGGAGGCACGGCTGCCAGACCGGGGGGCGGGAGGAGCCCTGCCGGTGGCAGGGGGTGGTCACCGGAGGCACGGCTGTCAGACCGGGGACCGGGAGGAGCCCTGCCGGTGACACGGGCTGGTCACAGGAGGCACGGCTGCCAAACCGGGGGGGGGGGGGGGGCAGAGCCCTCCTGATGGCCGGGGCACACCAATGAAGGATGTCCTGGCTCGCCGCAACACGGACGGACCGACAAGCTGCTCCGACGATACCGGCAGGCCACTGAGGGGTCTCTGCTGCGATACGAGCGCCGATCCGCCGGCCGACACTGTTCCCAAACCTCTTGTGGCAGTGCTGAACACAATCTAACCCGACTCAGGAACGGCCAATCTTAGCCTAGCTTGACGCTGTTGCCTAGCGCCACAGTTCGCTTTAAAGAAGCAGCTATTTTACTTGCATCCGCTAATGTCATTAGTCCAGGGTCCCTGGATTGGCTGTGGGGCAGACCTACCTTGCCGGCGGCGTCTGAAGGCTGGTCGGCGCTCTCGCTCTCGTCCGCTGACGTCATTAGTCCCGAGTCCTCGGATTGGCTGTGGGGCAGACCTACCTTGCCGGCGGCGTCTGGAGGCTGGTCGGCGTCTCGTCCGCTGACGTCATTAGTCCCGAGTCCTCGGATTGGCTGTGGGGCAGACCTACCTTGCCGGCCGCGTCTGGAGGCTGGTCGGCGCTCTCGCTCTCGTCCGCTGACGTCACCAGTTCGGAGTCCTCGCCGTTGGAGCTGGCGGTAACCGAGTCCAGGGTAGACTCGGAGGCAGAGGTCGCAGCGGCCCTGGCGTGCCTGGCGACGGACAGCGAGCGCCGCAGTGTTGACCAGAACCGAGGCAAGTCGAATCCTGGTGGGCGGGACTGGAATCCTCGACGGCGTTTCGGCTTCCAGGAAGATATTTGGGTTTTTGGGGCGCGTGGACTACGTTGGTCATTTTGTGCCGCCACTTCCAGCACGTAGATGTTTGTTTGGTTTGCGATCGTATGGACATCCTACATATTGTTAAACTAACCAATAGAACATGTTGACTTATGATTGCATGTGTTAATGCGGCCAAAGAAGACGTAACTCGTGTAACGGCGTCGCAGTCTGCCACGACACTACGTCCGACGTCCGGGGCCCACCGATACACCGCGGTCCGAGCCGGGCAGCGCGGCGGCGGCCGTCTCACTTGGCGGCGGCGCCCTGCTGGGGCGTGTCCTCGCTGCCCGCGGCCGGCTGCTGGCCGACGTCGCACAGCGTGGTGATGACGTCCGACTCTAGCTCGGGCCGCGAGCAGGCGTCCAGCAGGCGCGCCAGCTGGCGGCGCAGCAGCTCCGTGATCTCGTCGCAGGTGGACGCCGGCAGACTCTCGGCGTACACGCTGCGCGGGCAGGGGCGGCGCGTCAGCCGCCGCTGGGGGTCACGGCCGACACGAGCCAGCCGCGGCGGCGCAGGCGGTCACTCTGGCGCACTACCGATGGGGCTTGCACCGCCGGAAAGACGGCCGCCCCCCTGCTCTCTCCGAGGTAGCCTCTCCACCCCAGCCAGTGAGGCACGCCCTTCGCAACACTTCCGGAATGTGGGTGACCTATGCCACGTCCTCGGAGAGAGCACGTTCCACACGCGCCGCCCTGCTGCCGGACCGTCCGGCACCACTCACCCGGCGATGATGGCTAGCACCTGCAGGAAGCGCATGCTGGCGGCGGCCAGCGGCTGGTGGGCCGAGCCCAGCGCGCCCGTCAGCCACAGGCTGCCGTCGGCCAGCCGCGCCAGCAGGTGCAGCAGGCCGGAGTCGGCGGCGCGCGTCACGTCGTCCGGCCGGTGCTGCACGCTCAGCGCCAGCACCCCCAGCAGCTCCAGCCGGTAGCGCACCTCTGGCAACACGGCGCACGTGGCAGCTGGGCGACGCGCCGCTGTAACGGGTGAGTCGCGTGTGACAGGCTCGGAGCTGACGAGTGGAACGTGAAGTAGAAAAGCGGGTAAAAACGGCACTTCCTTAAAATTCCGTTACGCAGCTGCCTCGGCGCCGAAACCGCGCGTCAGACGCCGCCTCGGCGACGGCCGCTTACCGCCGCGATCCTGGTGTCGGAACAGGCCGGCCACCAGCAGCCGGTAGATGTCGGCCAGCACGGTGTGGATGCGCTGCCGGAGCGCGCAGCCGCTGGTGGCCACGTCGTCCGTGTAGAAGCGGACGCGGCTGCGCGGCGGCTCGGCGGAGACGGCCGACAGGCCGAAGCAGCCGGCCACGAACTGCTCGTACGACTGCGGCGGCGGCCAAGGGCGGCGTCAGACGCGGCCGCCGCGCCGGCGGGGAGCGGGCGCCGACGCCCCGGCGTTGGGGCGGCCACCGCCCGGAGGCTGCACGCTCGGACGGTCGCGCGCGGCACCGCTCGACTCGCGGCACGTTCAGAGTGGTGCGGTGAAGAGGACGGCATCACGATGGAGCGCAGTTTCTTGTCAGTACTCGCGGGGTTAGCATGGCACGGAATGTTACCTCATGAGAACGTTCCCTCGCGCGGACCCTGAGTGAGACCTCGCACGCCATAGCCGTAAACATGAATGCAAACGCCGCCCCAAATCGGCCCACTGCATGTCCACTGATGGACGAGGCGCTGCGGCCACCCCGCGCCGTTGTCGTCACAGCGAAATCGACCGATATCCACACAGCGTGTCGCCGAGCGAGCGTCACGCTGAGCTGGACGGACTGGCGATCACCACTAGCACGGCGGCAGCAGCCAGCTGGACCGCGTCTGGGCACCCAACGCGCCACAGGAAAGTCCATCCGTCAGAACAACATCCAACCGGCTCAACCCCGAGGATGCTCGCACCATCCCAGCGCCGCTCGCGCTGCGGCCTCGGCGTGGCCGTGGCCCGAGGGCGCCGACACCGGCTGCAGTTCGGCGCCGGGACCTTGCCTGGTTCAGCAGCGTGGCCTCGGTGATGGGCCTGTCGGCGGCTGCCGGGTCCGGGCCGGCGGCGGCGGTGGTGGCGGCGGCGGCGGTGGGACAGGCCGCGATCGGCGTCAGGAACTCGCTGACCTGGGTCAGCCCCACCAGACGGGACTGCCGACCGCGCCGGCTCCGTCAGGCGGCGCTCTGCACCGGCAAGCGCAGCGCACGGCACGCACACACACGCACACACACATAGTCTGATATCCACTTGGCCGTATACGTCAGCCCACATCCGCACACATCTGGCCGTACACATTTTTACATATCTGCCTGTGACGGCCATGCATACACTAGCCCGACAGCGCCCGCAACTTAAGACCCCAATGATGTGACCGCTGCTAGCCGCCGGCGGGCTTACGCGTCCGAGCGCCCCGCTAGGCAATAGCTCTCTTTCACACATGACCCTCACGGTAATGCTGACACCCGTCATCGCCGACCCGTGCGCGAGCGTCGCTGCTGTCGCCCAGCCAGCCTCTGTGCACGAACGTCACTACCGCCGCCTGGCCGAGCGTTTCGTCAGGTCGCTACTGTCGCCCCAGCTGACCGACGCACCCGCCGCTGCCGGCGCCGGCCGGCCGACCGCCTACCTGAGCGCGCTTCTGCTGCTGCTGCATGGCGGTGAGCAGGAGGAAGGGGTCGGTGCTGGCGGCGGCGGCGCGCGCCCGTCCGCCCACCAGCCGCCGGTTGGCCCAGTCGTGGCAGACGAACTTGAGCACCTCGGCGCACTGGTCCCGCAGGGCGCTGCTCCACCGGCCGGCGAGACGCCGCGTCAGCCGCCAGGGCCACGGGGCCGCCGAGGCGGGCACGCATGTCGGCGCGCGGCTCAGTCCACACACGCAGCTGGTCTGAATCAGTCGTATCAAACGTATTCGCAACTACGTCTTAGGCGCATTTCAAGCATTCAGAGCTGGGAGCACATGTATATCATACAACATGACAGAGTAACTGTCCGGTATGACTCCCGCCGCGATCCTCGCGACGCCCCGGACGAACGTAGCGCACGAACAGCGCTCCGAGAAGCTGCCCAATCCCACAACGCTCCTCGCCGCCGCCGCCGCTGCTTCACTGACTCTGGATCGAGCTTGCCGGGGCCGACCACGGCCAGGCAGAGGAAGAGGCAGGCGCGCGCCACGGACGTGCACACGGCCGGGAAGCGGGGTTGCTCGGCCGAGCGCTCGTCCTCGTCCGACTCGTCGCCGTCGGCCGCCGCCGCCTTGCGTTCCTCGTCCTCGTCCGTCACCGTGCGCGTGCGGTGCCGCTTGCCTGCCGGCGGCGCCCCCGGGGTCAGGCCGGTACACGGCGCCGGCGCGTGCGGGCGCGGCGTGAGCGGCGCTCAGATTGAAAACTGGTCCTCACGGCCGGGCCGGCTCGGGCTCAGGTTTAATCACGGCTGGGGAGGGGCGACTGTGGCGCGGCGGACGCCGGCGGCGTCCAGGCTCAGGACGACGCCGGGCTGGCCGCCCTGCTCTGCTCTGGGTGCCCGCGTAAACCGACGCTCGAGGCTGGGGAGCGCCGGCTCTGTGAGGCACCCGACCCGACTATTCGGCGGACACGGGGCCCCGCGGAGGTGATTACAACGGCGGACACGGGGCCGCACGGAGGCGACCGCAGCGGCCGGCACGGGGCCACGTGGAAGCGATTACAACGGCGGACACGGAGCCGCACGGAGGCGACCGCAGCGGCGGGCACGGGGCCACGCGGAGGCGATTACAACGGCGGGCACGCACGGTGCCCGGCGCTCCCAGCCGACCACCACAAATGGAAGGGTTTCGCAACCGCGACACGCAGACATGAACACCCCAGCAGAGCAGTCTGCGGTTAGGGCAACAGCCCAACGCTGATGCTGAATCAGTTGTTTTCAGGACACATGACGACCCGTGCGATGCAAGCGACGTGCACATCCTAACCACGCGCACAGGCGGCGGCAGCATCGGATGTGTCTGCATGACCGACGCGACAGCAGCCGGCGCACGGGCGGTGGGCGGAGAGCGCGGAGCGGGCGCCGGTGGCCAGCGGGCCGACAGGCGTACTCACGGCCGGTCCGCGGAGACGCGCTCTCCGCCGTGAACTGGCCCAGCAGCTCGTGTCGCACGCGGTACACCGTCTCGTAGATCATGTCCATGTCGCCACGGCTGCCGGCGGAGTGAATCATGGCATTCAGAGGTACGCACCCGCAGAGCTGCTTCGGCATTCGGGTCATTTGGCGGACCACTTGACTGGCCTGCATACTTAACACACTCACAAATAGAACCTCACGCAAAATACACAATAAACCAGGCGATGTCTTCAAGCTGAGGCGTCGCTCTATCTGCGACAAGCATGCAGCAGCATGAACAGTTATACTTTCGGGTGAGCTGTGAAAATACCTGCCAGGAGTGAGAAGAAGACTAGAGAAAGGTGCAACGAAAGGGTGCCAGAGGCGTGAGGCGTGAGGAGTGCATGAGAATCACGCGTGCGGGATGCGTGAGACGCTATGGGCGCGAGATGGGCGGAGAAAGGCGAGGGACAGGAAGCTGAAAAGCGCGAGAGAAAACGAGACGTATGAGGCGCGAGGAAAGAGGACGCGCGAAAGGTTTCAGGGGTGCCGAGCGCCACCGAAGCGGCTGTGTTTGAGAGGGACAGCGGAGACGTGGGAGCGCGGGAGCGGAGACAACCCGCCTGACAGCGACGTCACAGCGTCACACGGCGCGAGCGGCGAGCGCCCGGCGTCACGCACCGCGCCTGCTGAACGGTGGCGGCGTCGCAGCCGGTGTGCTTGAGCAGCGTGACGAGCAGCAGGCGGCAGACGAGCTCGGCCTGGCGCGGCAGCTCGTCAGGAGCCGGCTCCAGTCCCTCAGACACGCCGTACTCGTACAGCTCCTCGTACACGTACTCCTGCTTGTCTGCGCCCGTACACAGACGCACGCGGTCATTGCCAGCGGCCTCCAGCGGGTCTCACGTCCCGTTTGTAGAACAGTGCTGTGTGCAATGTGTGAAAGCGAAAAAAACACTCCTGCCACTGCGAAACCCACGACTGACGCAGAAGACATTACAATGTAACAATAACCAGAGGCACAACTCAATCGACCTCAATGTCAACTTAAAGGCGTGTTACAACGGTTCTGGCGCCGCCCGCACAAAACAATACATAATCTTGGCGCACGAGGCCTTTCAGCCCCGCTCAGCGCGCCAGGCCGGCACGCACCGAAGCCGACGGCGGCGGCCAGGCCCAGCCGCTGGGCGTCGCTCCACCAGGCGACGGTGTCAAGCAGCCGGTTGAGCCGCGTGAGGCTGACCTCGGCCGTCAGCTGGCCGTCCCGGGTCAGGCAGGTCAGCAGGTCAGACAGCCGCACCCCTGCCGCAGCCGGGCTCCGGTCACCGGGGTCACGGCGCCGGCGCGTGCGGGCGCGGCGTGAGCGGCGCTCAGATTGAAAACTGGTCCTCACGGCCGGGCCGGCTCGGGCTCAGGTTTAATCACGGCTGGGGAGGGGCGACTGTGGCGCGGCGGACGCCGGCGGCGTCCAGGCTCACGACGACGCCGGGCTGGCCGCCCTGCTCTGCTCTGGGTGCCCGCATAAACCGACGCTCGAGGCTGGGGAGCGCCGGCTCTGTGAGGCACCCGACGCCACAGGACACAGTCATCCGACTCAGCTGGCCGTCAGGGGCCGACAACGGGGAGGTCGGCACCTCACGCGTTAAGTGGCGAAGGAGCGCACGTCTTCTGCTGTTAGTTCTGTTCAAGTATCCTCGCAGTAAAACGGCAACGGACCATGCCAGCAACGCCAACAGCAGACGGGGGCCGGGTGAACACTGATGCCGCGCGGCCGCCCCAGAGCGGCAGCCTGTGACCCACGACGGCGCACCAAACGACTTCTGCGCGGCACCAGAGCGGCACCACGCCATGACAGGGGCAAGGGATGGGGGGGGGGAGGGGGGCGCACCGATCAGCTCGCCGTCAGCCTCCATGCCGCGCGCCAGCAGCGGGCTGGCCAGCCAGCGGGCGGTCTCGGCCTCCTCGGGCAGCGGCGGCGGTCCGGCCAACAGACCGCCCACGCAGCGGCCCACCAGCAGAGCGCAGGCCTGCTCCGCGTCCGACAGCCACTGCCACTGCTCTGCGGGACGGCAAGGGGCGCTGTCAGGAGGGGCGTCGGCGCCGACACCGGCGTTCCGAGGCGGTTTCGCTCAGTACGACACCAGATGGAGCAGCATGGCTGATAGCAACGCCCCTTCGCCAGCCAAGTCACAACACCAGTCAGGGGCATTATTTACGCCAGACACCATCCCAGCAAGCAAACACAACGCCACAGTCACTGCACCTGCATATCTGCGGTTCGCGCGTTTTCGAAAGTTCATCTTTCAAAGAACGTATTTGCTTCGGACCCCCACATGAATGTCATCCATTAAGATATCCGCGCGCCACTGGTGCATGGCCAGCAACTCGCTCTGCCGGCAGGGGCCTCTGCTCTGCCTGCCTCCGGCCCGCGGGCCCCGTCGGCAGCTCCCGCCCGCTACCGGGACGGTGCGCCGCTCGCTCACTCACCTGCCGGGTCGGCCAGCTGCTCGGTGGTGAGCCTCACCAGGCCGTCGATAGATGGCAGCAGCGCCGTCAGGTGGCCCAGCAGTGAGCAGATCAGGCTGACGGGCAGCAACAGCAGAGCGTGCACCACCTTGGAGAGCATGGCACCGCACGAGGAGAGCAGCAGCACCTCTGCGGGGAGGGGGGGGGGGGGCGAGTCACGTCATCCCGCGGGGAGGAGGATCACGCCAGGATTGAAAACTGAAAACACGAGTCGAAATGACGGTGGCGGGTCTCGAACCCGCCACCTCGCGGTCACCAGCCGAGCTGACTCCACCTCAGTCACACAACACCGTCACCACCTACACCAGCAACACGGCGGCTAGCAGTTGCCACCCTGGGAACCCTTTTCACCACTCCGGGGCGTCACACACACTTATTTATGTAAGCCGCGTGCACGCTTGTCAGCCACCGGGGCCCCGCACCGACGCGGCCCAGCTCCCTGCAGTCGCACACCAAGCTCCGCACTCCGACGCCGGCGCCGCACACCGCACCGCTCCGCCGCCGTCCGGCTCCGCGTAGAGACACAGTCGCTCTCTGGGCCCCCGCCGCACGCGCGGATCGCCACGGAGCGCGCCTCGGCCCGCACCGCCAGGCCCAAACCTCCGCGGCGCGCATCTGTACCAGCCCCCTTCTTAATATGTTGTTTTCAAAATTACGTAAGGTGTTCAGTGCATTAGCGGGGAGCATTATTCACACTGATAAGACGGTAGCATTAGCCTTATTCCTAAAAAAATCAGGAGAATGGAGATATACTTTGGTTCCAGCATAGTATAACCAGAAGAGTAGTTTGGTTCTAGATATAGTTTGGTTCCAGTAACCAAATATTTCCCTTCCCTGGCTTTTCAGAGGAATAAGGCTAATACTACTGCTTTATCTGTGTTGTTTTCGACCATGTGCGCACTCACGTGACAACGACAGCGCACACAAACGCACATCTCTTCATTCTTCATCATCTGTACCTCACACAGATTTGCAGCGGAAACCGAAACCTGACGGCGGCGGGTTTCGAGCCCGCCACCTCGCGGTCGCCAGCCGAGCTGAACCTACCGTCGGCCAGCGTCCCAGCCGGCGCGCCACTGCGCCCGCTGCGCTCAGCCTCACCTCTGACGGGCGTGGTCAAGCTGGGTCGGAGCGCGAGCACGGCCAGCGCGTGTGTGGCCGCCTCGCGCGCCAGCGGGAACAGCAGCGACAAGTGGCTCTGCAGCAGGCCCAGGCTGCTCTTGTACTGCCGGCCAGCGGGCGGGGGTCAGCGGGCGGGCGGGGCGGGGCGGGGCGGGGCGGAGCGGGGCGGGGCGGGGCGGGGCGGGGCTAGCAGGCGGATCAGCACGCGTCAGCTGGCGCCGCAGCAGCCTGCTGTGACATTGCACTGCACCGGGGCACATGCACGCGCGCCGACCGTGCCCACCTCCGGAGAGGACGGAAGAGCCTACAGACGGAGTACCGGGCACGACAGAGTCGGACTGATCTGATTCCACCACAACTTGACGGCTAAGGTATCGTCGTGCAGAGCCGTGCCTACCCTCAAAAGTCGTTCGGTAATGCGCTTTCACGAGGGCATCGAACTCCAAACTTGGGAGGCACATCACAGGACAACTACCAGGCCTAACGAGACCAAAAAGGGGGACACAACCGATCCATCCATTCAATGAACAAGGCAGCAGCTGGCGGGCAGGCGACCTGACGCGGCCAGCTTGAGCCGCGCAGCGGGACAGACCTCGGCGCTGTCGACGTTGCAGGAGGCCGTGTAGCAGAAGGCCAGCAGGTGGCTCTGCAGGGACATGAGCAGCGCGCACAAGTGCGGCGAATGGTCGGTGGGCGCCTCGGCCGCCGCCTCGCCCGGCGCCGACCTCTCCACAGACACCAGCCGCCGCTCCTGCGGCACAAACGGCACGCCCCCTCGCACCGGCTGTACGTGGCACGGCGACAGACGGGATCCGACTTAATCCGCGTCGCAGTCCCACACCGGAGGGGAAGGATCCCATCTCGGCAGTGTGCAAAACGGCATTGTCTTCCATCTGCCGAATTACATCTGCCATCTGGGCAGCGGCTGCATCAGGCCAGTGCAGTACTGAGGACGCCGGTACAACACCATACACGCCTGGGAGGTTAAGACGGCGCGCCTCGCCATTACACCGCCCGCGCAACCAGGCCACACCCAGCACCTACCCTTGCACCACCTGCTGGACCTCACACATGCATGCTCAACACACGTACGAAACACTGATCTATGAACACAAGAGGTTAATGTACACCACCCAGCTTGGCACAGGCCATCTCCGGCGCGTCACTGCCAGTTTGACGGCCCGCCGCTGGCCAGGCGTCGGCGTCGGCGCGCGCTACGCACCGTGTCGAAGCCTACGTTCCTGAGCAGCGTTTTCATGAGCAGGAGGGCGACGGCCGGGTCGGCGGCGGTGCCGTGGGCTGGCCCGTAGCCGAGCAGCGCCGCCACCTGGGTGTGCTCCTCCAGCGACGTCAGGATCATGCTCAGCTGCAGCTCCTGGAGCGCAGCGGGGGCGGCGCGGTCAGCTGTGCCAGCGCCGGGCACGACTCGGGAGTACAACGAGGCGGTGGCTGTGAATACGTTGATAGAAGCGCACACGAACCTTCGCGCTTTTAGGAACGATTTCAGGCCTCAACATGGACATCAGTGACAGCCAAAGAACTACACTGTGGGCAAAACACAACCACACACAAGGCGAAAGAATGTACTTGAAATACATACTGGGGGCTTTATTATAAGTAAACAAGAAGGCTTAACCAGAGAGAAAATGGTAATGCTCGCCACATTATCATCACTTGCCTGGAGCTGGGGCAGATTGGGGAGTATACCGAGAGACCGACCAGCGACAGCTGTACACGGCGAGGTCAGCTGCACCACCAACCCTGCCATCTCCTCCCTAACCCGCTCCACCTCGCCCCACTCCGCCCCAGACCCAGCCCCTCAGCCCTAATCCTAACCCTAGTCCTAGCCCTAGCCCCAGCCCCAGCTCCAGCCTAAGCCCCAGCCTTAGCCCTAGCCCTTACTCCAGCCCCAGCCTTAACCCTACAGGCCCAGCCCCGGCTCCAGCCACAGAGCCCCAGAGCCCCACAAGCTCCACAAGCCCTACGCCCCAGCATCAGCCCAGCCCCCAGGCTTCAGTGCTAGCGCCGGCGCCGCACACCTGTCCGTCGCTCAGTCTGGAGGCGCAGTCGGGCCCCTGCGGCAGCAGCGAGTGCAGGATCTCCATGCGCTCGCGGAGGGGCGGCAGCAGCAGCGGGGCACCGATCTTGAGCGCCTCCAGCACGGCCGTCTGAAGACAGCTCGGCAGGCTGGTGTCGATCAGTCTGTGGACGGCCGCGAAAGTGTGACGAACCGCACTCCACACCAGTCTGTGGACGGCCGCGAACGTGTGAGGAGCCGCGCTCCACACCAGTCTGTGGACGGCAGCGAACGTGTGAGGAGCCGCGCTCCACACCAGTCTGTGGACAGCCGCGAACGTGTGACGAACCGCGCTCCACACCAGTCTGTGGACGGCCGCGAACGTGTGAGGAACCGCGCTCCACACCAGTCTGAGGACGGCCGCGAATGTGTGACGAACCGCGCTCCACACTAGTCTGGGAGCGGCAGCACGCGCATGTAGCTGTGCGCAACATCCGTATGTCGCGCGCAGCAATGTACAAACGTTCGACGTTCGAGCGTAGTTCGAACGTCAAATGCATGTTTATTGTACGTGCGACGCACAATTAACGTACGACGTACAACGAACTGACTTGAAGTATAGTATGCCGACTGCAGGAAGTCCTGGCGCTCCGACCTAACCAGCATTGTCTTCGGGTACCCCTGACCCTGACCTGAGCTGCAGTAGCCAATTCCCAAGTGATCCCGACCTCAACCTGACCTACAGACGTCCACCACGACGTTGTTCCCACCGCTGTCGCTGACCCCCTTGCGACGTTCCCAGCCGCCCGGCCGCGCGCTCCGGCAGTGCGGTGACCCCGACGAGGCCTGACCTGAAGAGGAGCGTGCGCAGGCTGCGCGCCTGTCCGCCGGTCACGCCGGCGTCCAGCCCGCTACGGATGGCCAGCGACAGGTGCGTCCGCAGCAGGCCCAGCAACGCCTGCAGAAACTGCAGGTGCAGCCTGGCGCAGCGGCCGGCGACGGACGGGTCACGGTCCAGCGCACGGCCTGCGTCCGTCGACGCGACCCAAACGGCACGAGTGACGCGCCGCCCGAGCTCACGGCGATCGGGTCCGAGACGGTATGGAGCTTAACACGCCAGCTCGCACTCCCACAAGACGCCATTTGCAGCTAGCGAAGTCGTACGAGTCAAAGTGTCCGTTCCCACAGTCGCACGCACACCCGCTGACACCGCGGCCGCGGAGATTACGGAGAGCCGCCGGTTGCAAGGACGGCGCTGAATGTCGAGACTGTGGTCGCGGTAGTGGCATAAAGGAAGAAACTCAGAAAACAAAGCCCGATAAATGCGCAGAGTCTCGGGACCGTCACGCTCACCATAAAACCATGCAACATATGCAACTTTGTCAATCACGTTGACGCCAGCGTCACCGCGGCGACGCCCACTGCAAGAGCCGTCACGGGCCGCGGTCGCTACGTACTGCTGGGAGCCGAAGGGCAGCGGCGGCCGGTCCGACTCCAGGCCGGTGCAGTAGCGCTCCAGCAGCGAGTGCATCAGGCCCAGGGTGGTCTCGTCCAGACTGACGCAGTACGGTCGGCTGAGCGCGTACGCCTGTCTGCTGACCCCGGGCGCAAGGTCATCAGCAGGCAGCCAGCGGGCATCGGGTCAGAACGTACTCGCCTGACTGGCCAGACCAGGGGTCACACTGGCGAGGCATAGCTGGATGCAGTGTTAGATTGGTGACACACTGTGAAATGTATTTTCATAGTCCACTGACCCCGACCTCGGACAAAATTCAGGGGATTTCACGACATGGGACGATGCAGACGTGATGTTGGATGGATGAGGTGAATGAGATGGTTGTATTGTCCCCGATTGGAAAGGACTGCGGTTGGTGGCAGCAGCCGCGCTCAGTCGTGACGTCAAAGCGCTAGACTACCTGTGCCGAGCATTGCGGCACGCTATGCTTTCGACGCCGTTAACTTGGAATTTCAAGGCCGGGTGGTGGGGCCAGCGCTCAGGGAACAATTACTGCGCAGTATGGGTGCTGCTCTCAGGAATTCGACCAATAGTTTCGAACATGTTACAAAACAGGAATAAGTTGCCTACTTAGCATAAAGTGAGAGCATGAAAGCATGAAATCACGGACGTGAAAACATGACAGCAGTGCCTTTCAGTACGAAGCACACAACTAAATCACGGGTATGTTAAATGAGAGCTCTGTAATCGCGGAGGCTTTTCACAGCTCACAGTTTACGGGCATCAGACAAGGACGTGCACTGCCACACCCACTGGGTGAAGTGCTCGGAACGACACGGGGCTACGCTATCCACCCTAGCTGCCTGGCGAGTGTGGCATGTGACCATATCATCCCGGGCAGCGCCGGGGAGACATCAGGACACCGGAACCTCCCAGCCGAGTGGCATGGCACGGGGCGGAGACATCCCCCAGGGGCCTCAGTCCGACCTGTCCTGGGGCTGGCCGCGGGGCTGCCGGTCCCACCCAACCCCGGTCAGGTGCCGCCCGCTCCCTGAGCGGTCGCCAGCCGGACGCGTCCCTTGGACGAGGCGGCGGTCCAACTTGCCCCGGCTCGGAGCCCCGCCCGGGAGAGGAGACCCGTCCTAGGCAGTGACCCGCCCCGGAGGCGGGCGGGCCTCACCCGGCGCCCTGACCTGTCGCGGGGCGGCGCGGTCCAGGCGCAGCTGTGGCTGGTGCCGGCCGACACCTGACGCACGGCCACCTCCTCCAAACCGAGCACCTTGCGCGGCCGCCAGACGGGCGTGTTGGTGTGGCCCAGCCCACACTGGCCCATCGAGTTGTTGCCCCAGGCGAACACCTCGTGGTCCTGCCGACAGACGCAACGCATCGAACACCAGCGACCGGGCTCACACTAGGATGCGGGGTACACGGGCACGGCGCCTTCGAAGATCGTCGGACACAGCTTCCGAAAACGCGGGCACACAGTTCACGTCCAGCTCCTCGGGCACAGTCGTCCACATTCCGTGTTTTGATACACAAGCTTCAATTTGCGCAACGTGAACAGCTGAGCACTAATGGCCGGCTGCATCACTTTCCGGACCAGCACACCCCAATGTCAGCGCACACCGCCGTCCTGACAACCGTCGGGCAGCCTGCCCTGCGCCCCATCGCCGCGGCCAGCCCGGCGATGCCGCCCCACGGCGCCGCCCGCGCGAGCGGCGCCGGCGCCCGTACCTGGGTCAGCGCCAGACAGTGCGAGTCGCCCAGCGAGACGTCCGTGACACGCAGCTCGGCCAGCACCTCGACCAGGGCGGGGCGCAGGCACGCCACGTCCGGCGAGCCCTGGCCCAGGCAGACGCCGCCGCCCCACGACCAGAGCCGCAGCGGGCCCGCCTCCTCGCCCTGCCGACGCGGCCGTGACGCGGGGTCAGTGGGAGGGTGGGGGAGGGGGTCTAGGCCCGATCGTGCACCAGGCGTCAGAACAACACTACATACAATCCGAACAACAACCAGGTCTGGGGAAAACCCCTATCGTCCGCACCTGGCATGGCCCATCCTAACAACGCAGCTCCCGACTCCTGGCAGGGTCCTCGTGCACACCCCGGTCCCCGAGCACTTCACTAGCCTCCCCCGACGCCCGCGCGCCGCCCCATCCCCGCGTGCGCTGCCGTCTCACCGGCGCCGCCTGCGACGTCAGAGCCAGGGAGCACTGGTTGCCGGCCGCCACCTTGACCACCGTGAGGCCGGAGAACGCCTCGATCACTTTGGGCCGAAACTGGCGCGCCAGGTCGCCGTGGCCCAGCCGGCCGTTGTCGCCTGTCCGAGGGCGCAGGTCAGGCGGATCAAGAACCGACGGGGTCACACGAGTGCGGCGACTCCGCGCCGCCGTGACGCGGACGCACGGAACGCATGCACGCACGCACACGCGTCTACACACGTACACAAACTAAAGATTGGCACCAGCCCCAGCATGTCATGCGAGCACGCAGGTGGCCGATGGGAAAAGCAGAGGCGGTTAGCCGCGGGGTATTCCATCCACACGTACGTTGCGCATCAACAGCTCCTTCAGGTGCAATTACGAAACATCTCCCACCATCAGCGCGCGCTCTGCCGCAGACCGCACGTCCACATCGACCGGCCGCTGTATCCGCCGCCGCGCCTTCCCGGCGGACCGGACCAGACCGATGGCCGGCAGCAGCTCAGCGTCGGCCGGCGCCTCGGCACCGCGCCGCGCGACGACCGGCGCGCGCCGCCGCTGACCTGAGCCGAACGACCAGACGGTGCGTCCGTCGGCGGAGACGGCCAGCGTGTGGGCCGAGCCGCAGTCCACCTGGCCGACGGCGCTCAGCTCGGACACCAGCGTCGGCACGTTACGGCTGTTGTTGTCGCCGTGACCTGGCGGGCGGCGGCGGCCGCGTCACAAACACACGCTGGCAGTTTCGGGCGCGTCAATTCCCAGGGTCATCTTGCATCCATGACGATGTCCTCACCCAATCAGTGAGATGCGGGGCGGCGCATACGTTTACCGTTCCAACACCGGCCAGCAGCGGTGGAACTCACCCAGGCGGCCGTGCTCGCCCTCTCCCCAGGTGTAGAGCCGACCGTCCGCGGTGACGCAGGCCGAGTGTCTGTAGCCGGCCGACACGGTCGTCACGGTCTTGCCCGCCAGCGGGCCGTCCACGCGCCGCGGGTACTTCTGCGTGACCGTGTTGCCGTGTCCCAGCTTGCCGTAGTCGCCTGCGGGGGAGGCAGTCAGCCTGGCGCCGCTGCGGTCCTGGCAGGACGCTCCGCTAGCAGAGCCGAGAGCAGAGACTGGCACGGGCCGAACCCAGCCTGGTCACGCCGCGCTGGCAGGCGCACCAACGGTCACATGTTTGTAGGAGTACACCGCTACGTCCCGGAAACGATACCATAAAGGAAAAGCGATACGCAAGCGATAAAAGACTCCGTAAGAAACACTCACGATACGCCACACAAAGCTCTAAAAGCCAAAACCTCCCCGTCTTTCGTCGCGGGTACCCTACACATGTCCCCTGCTCGAATGCGACCCGACCAGAAAAACAGCCGCAGCGTTCAGTCGACGCCGACGGCGTCTGCCGGCGGTCGGAGCATCGGCGGCGGGAGCTGGCGCCGGAGCCGGAGCCGGAGCCGGCCGCGGGCACCTACCGTCTCCCCAGCTGTAGACGCGTCCGTCGGTGGCGACGGCCAGTGTGTGCCCGTCGCTGCCTTTGCTGCTGGCCACCGCCCGACACGGCGGGTCCAGCGACACTCTGCCAGGGCGGGCCCGTCAGCTCGCGGCGCACCCGCCGACTCGCCGCACACGCTGCTAAACCACTGGGTTCTTTTCGAAAAGACACCGCCGGAGTGCTCCAACTAGTTTAGACGCGTTTACGCATAAAACCGTGCGGCCAGAAATGTGTTTGCACGGGGTTATAAAAGTCATTTGACAGCATACAAAGTCCGGTCGGAAGTTTTCACACGAGCCATTGATATCAAACACTACTGCACAACGACCGCTGGAAGCTATAAGGATCTCGAAGGACGAAGTTGTAGCATGGTTTCTTATGACGATCCTACTTCTGCCAGCACACCATTAGAGCTTCTCAACAGTCATACACTGACAGCCGAATACACCCGGCGTGCAGCTACGCCGTAGTGGAAGCGGATGCCCACAAATCCACCGCACCGCTGCACCCATCGGCCCTTCACACAGACGGCGTCCTCAGAGGGCGCAGCGGGCGTCGACCGCCGTGCCCCAGCGGCGCCCTCACCTCCGTGGCAGCGGCTGGTTGGCCGAGTCTCCCAGTCCGAGCCGGCCGTACGAGCCCTTGCCGCACGCCGACACCGTGCCGTCGGCGTGAACCGTGAACGAGCAGTACTGGCCGGCCTCCATCTGGCGGCGGCGGAGGGCGGCGCCGTCAACAGCGCCGCACGTGTCGCTGCCGTCAGGCTCTAGCGACGTAGAGCCGGCGCAGGCTGGGTTGTTGGCTGTGCGGTGCCTGGGAGCGGTGCCATGGACCTCCCCATGGGAGCCTGGATATCATCGACTTCAGCGGTCACATACTGCGGGCGGGATTCGAACAACACGGACTGCGCGCGCACTTCACACGGTTAGTCATGCAGCAGGGCACGTCAAGCACACCACACAAGTTTAAGACATTAGAAACATTTGAAACACACGTTCCTTTCACACAGCTCCCCTAAAAAACGCCCACGCTCGGACTACGCCGACAGTAAAGCGAGCGGACACTCCATCGCCGGACGTCACCTGCTGGACGTTCTCGAAGGCAGGGGCGAGCCGGGCGGCGAGGATTTTGTCCTGGCTGGGCTCCGACAGCTGGCACGAGGAGTTGCTGCCCCACACGTACACGGCCCAGCTGTCGGCCCGCGGTGGACACTGGGCGCCGTCGCTCGGCGCCACGTGCTCCTCTGCCGGGCGCGGTACATGCGGGCTCAGACCGCGGCGCTGAGGTGGCCGGCTCGGCCACACGGACCGGTCAGCAGAACGTCAGTGGGACAATGACAAACAGTCTCTTTATGCTAAACCCACACAATCTTATCCGTGGGTGCTAAAGCCACTTCATCCACACAAAACTCTAGCGCACAGCGCACACCACATATGGGCGGAGCACGACGCCACGGAAGACCACGCCTCCCGAGCCAGCGAGGCCGGCTGACAAACCTCCCCCGACTGAGGGTATCACGCCCCTCACCGGCGCCGCCGCCGCCGTGCTCACCGGCCATCACCACCAGTCTCAGCAGCAGGCACATGGCAGCGTCCAGCAGCGGCACCTCCCGATCCGGCGGACCGTCGCCGGTCGTGTCTCGGCCGCCCAGCACGCGCAGCATGCGGCCCAGGTACTCGGCCGAGAGCACCGGCCGGCTGGGGACGGCCGAGGCCCGTCAGAGGGCGTCGGCGTGGCCCTCACGCGGCGGACTGGCGAACCACAGCACGACAAGCCACGAGGGTCACACCCACCGCGTCGCAGGGGCCGCGCCCGCAGAGCCGCGCGCACCGCGGCCCGACCCGGCCAACACGTGACGACACGTTGTGCCTAAACACACAGAAGACGCAATGGTCTACTACTTTTTCTGATGGTCTTTAACAGCAATGAAAGCAAGTCTCCCTTGCCTCCACTGCATGGCGACTGTGAGCGCCGTTTCACGGGACTCCCAGGCTGCCGGGCCGAGCTCATTCCACCACGCCGGGCCAACACACGATGGCGCCTCCGCGCCACGAGTCCGTGTGGTTGGTATGAAGGCTGGGGGGGGGGGGGGGGGGCTGACCTGACGTCGGGCCGCGGGGCGGCCTCGGTGGAGGCGGCCAACGCCATGTCCAGCCAGTCCAGCAGGTGACGAAGCGAGCCCCGCTGAACAGCCAGGCCCAGCAGCAGCTGGGAGGCCAGCAGCCGGCCTGGAGGCGGCCGACCAGCGTCACAGGCGGCCGGACAGCACAGCACGCACACGGTTACGGCACAGCAGACGTTACCACAGCACACACACGGTTACGGCACAGCAGACGTTACCACAGCACACAACACAGCGTCACAGCACACTGGACACATAGAGCGCACGCGGTCGCAGCGCAGCACGGCAAACACTGCTACGGCATATTGCACAGCGTCACAATATACTAGATGGCATCACAGCACATTGCAGAGCGCCCCAGAGTAGAACCCATCGGTGTCCCGCAGCAGAATATATCGGTACTCATTGTCTACACTCGATGAAAGGATTAACTAAGATACAATGTAACTAAAACTTGTGCTTGAAATGGTCTGCGAAATCATCAGTAGATACACTGAACCTATTTTCAAAACTTCATTCAGCTTCGCAACAAGGAGGGTAGAAGCCCAGGTGCAGATCTGTAGATCCAACCATTACAATCAAAGCCCAACACGACACACAGACACCCGATCGCAATGGCCACCCGCCTCTGCGGGCGCTCCCCGGTCTCCAAGTCGCTCTGCCCTGCGCAGGACGAGCCGTTACCCTGGGCGTCGGCGGTGGACGACGGCAGCGCCACGGAGCGGAGGAAGCGCGAAACATCAGCCAGGCTCTGCCGTCCGATCGGGGAGAGCTTGGCGTCGCTGGCCAGCGAGAGCGGCGGCAGCGCGCCCACTGTGTCCAGCGCCGTCTGCAGCACGTCGGTGCCGATCGCTGCCGGCAGGGGGCGCCGCGTCAGGGCACGCTCGGAGCAGCGCGCAGGCCGTTCAACCACCTCGCCTTGCAAGCATGCTAGCAAGAATCATATTATTGATGTTACATCTTCATTTACGTCCTTCTGACCGGCAGTCCGTGTTCTCTCTTCCAACTCTGCATGTGGCATCTCAGAGTTACACAATGCACGCACCAATCGTATCTCCTCTACCACAGCACGATACTCCGCACACGAGTACGGAACTTGTCTTCATTAGATACTCATCCTATCGAAGCAGTATAAACTGCACTACGAGCGAAGTACCTAGCACTAATTCCCATCAGCTCCTCCTTTTGTTTCACTGCACCAACCAGCGGCGATTTCGCCCCCCCCCCCCCCCCCCACAGCTATCAGCGGCCACGCCCAGCTGTAGGTGGGTCCAGCTCACCGGCACCGCTCTGCTGTGCCCAGCTCTGGCGGAGAAGCGCGAAGACCAGCGTCAGCCCGGTCTTGACGCTCATGGCGATGAGGGCCGAGTGTCCGCCGCCGCCGCCGCAGCCGCCGCTGTCATCAGCCTCGCCCTCGGCGCCGGCCCGCTCTGAGCCGCGGCGACTCTGCGCCAGCGAGCCCGCCTGGCCGCCGGCCACACAGGCATTGTCAGTCTGAGGCCAGTCACACTCAGACACCGCTCTGAGCCGCGGCGACTCTGCGCCTGCGAGCCCGCCTGGCCGCCGGCCACACAGGCACTGTCAGTCTGAGGCCAGTCACACTCAGACACCGCTCTGAGCCGCGGCGACTCTGCGCCAGCGAGCCCGCCTGGCCGCCGGCCACACAGGCACTGTCAGTCTGAGGCCAGTCACACTCAGACACCGCGCAGAGCCGCTCACACAGGTCCTACAGCTGCGCGTCGGGGAAAATAGAGGAACGGGGTTCGATTCCCCGCGGTGCCCGTCCTTTCCGCCCGGGTGGGAGGCAGGCGGCACCATACAGTCCCAGCAGCTGAGCGCGTCGTAAAGCCCTAATGACGCACGGCCACATCGTGCGAAGCTGCAGCCTGTCCACACGCCACCAGCACAAGGAACCGCGTTCAGACATTGTACAGCCGCAGTCTCTGGCCATGCAGATTACAGGTAGACCTACCTCTAAGCACACAATCCAACACACTCGGGCCCCAGGCCTTCCAATCGTTCTACAGCATCATACCGCATCTTTCCGCCTCACCTGGCCGGCATCGTGATATTTGGCAGAGAGCGCGTGGAAAATGCGTCGCAGGACGACCAGCCGGCGGCGGAGCACCGCCGAGAACGGCGCCTCGGCCACCTCGGCGGCGGCCAGGCTCAGCTGCAGCGTCAGCAGGCTGTTGACGAACGCCTCGTGGTCGGCGCCGGCCGCGCCGCTGTCCGACTCGAAGTCCGGCAGCTTGGCGCCCGGCAGCATGGGGAACGAGTCGTGCTGCGGCACCACCTCCTGCGGCGGCGGAGCGGGCACAACGTTGTCAGGTGATAACAGCTGATAATTTGCTGACACATGCGACTGTTACTGGCTGGAGGAGGGTCACAACGTCTCGAGACAATCACGGTCACCGATAGAATAACGCTCCACCGATCGCGCGGCTTGCGCCCGCAGGAGGAAGAATGGTGGGGAACAGAATGGAATGTCGGTGCATGAATGGGAAGTGAGGCAAATGAGCGACAGTCTCTACATCTCCGCAGCATGTCGGACCTGCTGCCCCCGGAGGCAGGCGCCGACACCCGTGTCGGTGGCGCCACCAGCCAGCAGTGGCCACCTGCTAAACAAGTTAAGTTGCCTACTGCCCTGAGTGCTGCCCATCGCGCCTGGCAGGATAGCAGGAGAGTCTGTCGCCTCTCACCCGCACCGCAGCGCCGCTGCATCGCCGCGCGGTAGACAGTGCCACGGGGCAGTCTAGCAGACTGATGCCCCACCTTGGTCTCCAGCAGCCGGGTATACAGCTGCTCAGTGACATCACGCTGGCACAGCTCCTCTGGCCGCTCAGCCAGCCAGGCAGAGTTCAGGTGATCTGACCACTTGAGCTTCAGTGTCCAGCCAGCCATGCTGCCAGGCTGCGACTCCTGGGAATGGAAGCAGGAGCTGAGTCAGCTGGTCAGGCTGGGCTGATGCAGCCAAGAGTTAGAGACCAGCATCCATGTATACAATCACAGAAAGAAAAGTGTCAGTGTAGACTGAGTGCACATGGGGGTAAGCCACAGCACCTTCAAAGCCTTCAAGAAAGATGCATTCTGATTTAAAGGCCTGGAAGGCAAGATGCAGTTTGATCAAACAGACAACTACAAACTGGAATCTGCTTGACTTACAGTCCCCTTGAATGTAAACATAAGTTATGAAAGGAAGGGTATGCATGTTCAGCTGACAATAAAAGCTTTTCTGCTTTCTTTCAAAATGTTTTCAATGTGATTGCCAGATGGCTTAAGAAGCACATAAGCAGCATATGCCCTATTTTATTTCTATAACAGTGGTTATTAAATGGTTGATTCTCTGTATACTGTTAGATGACAACCCAGACAATAAGATTGAGGCTGATCACAAGCTCAGGCATTGTACACTTAAGTCAAGATATGAGCTTGAGCATGGTGTACTTTAACTTACCCAGAGTGATCCCAATGTGCAGTAACCACTGCTTTGAAAGCATGGGTGCTGTCAGCTGGTTTGTCTATGATTCTTAACTTTTAGGGGCATGCTACTTCACTCATAAAATGTGTATACTGCACACCATAGATAGGCATTGCCACCTTTCATGCTGTACAAGCCAGATTACAATGCCCAAAAGCCCAAGCGGATAACGAAATATAGCATGTGGTGGGAAAATGTTCATTACAGGTTCCACCTTTCCAAGTGTCCACCCACGCCCAAAACATGGTTGTTGAAAGTACATGAAAGTACATGGTTTGTCAGTACATGTCTACATATGTATGAAAGAAAATGTCTGCTCATGACAAGTGCACAATACTTCATCCATATCAGTGTAATTTGATTTAACGCACTGGTACAGCATGTACTGTTATCATATAGGTACGTGTTTGTTTGCCTAACTGTCCATAGGCGTTATGCAGCCACCCAAGTCCACACCTCGTCAAATAAGCTGGGTTTTCGCCTACTTTAGATCAGGGCATTGGGTTACACTAACACACCATTAACGATAATGACTACCTACCTTACGCCAAAATAAGGAACAGAACCGGTTTTACTTCATCATTTGGGTTCGAAAAAGATGAGCAAGGTAACTAATAAAACAATAAACCATCGGGAGCCTGCGGAACGCCTATGCATCCCGAGAGCACAAGCCCCCGAGCCCGCACGGAGCCAGATATGCCGCGCGTGCTTCCGTTGTTTACATGGACAGCTGATTTGCTCAAGAGCTATTATTGCATGTGTTCACAGCACCAGACGGCAAGCAATATTTTCTTGCCATCAGCCAATCACTTTCGAGAATAACAATCTATCATGAGCACAGTGAAGTGCCAAAAACCTAAGAATATTACTTTAACGAGGGAGTGTTATAAGCCGCTCATAAGTTACACCACGCATGAAGGTGCAGATGCGTTTTTTCACGCACTAAGGGGGTAGGGGAGATGGGGCGTAACCGAAGGGTAACAAGGGGGTGACGTTTACAGTTGACTTCTCATGACAACCAACTCGTGGTTTATGTTTCTTGCATCCAGCTCCATTGGGGGCCAAACCATTAATGTATCTTAACTGTAATTGGGCACACAGCTGCATCCTGCACATCTCTGAAAATTGAGATCAGATATTTGTTTACATCTGCAATTTTACATTAACATCTGCAACATTTTTCGAAGTTCCGCCTCTCAGCGCCTTTGCCGTTTGGCCGCCAAACGGGCGTCACGTTTTCGTGACGCTACGCTTGACACCCGTAACTAGGGGATAAGGTTGTCCAGCCCCAGTGTAACCATTGGGTGACCAGTAGTTTGAGAGTTTGCCAAAATTTGTCAGGTAATTCATTGACAGCGCAAACTGGTGACAGGCATAGGCATTTAAGTACGTACAATCATGGGTTCCGTCGTGGGTAGGGAACAGGAAAGCGTGTACCTTTAGGTCTTTGTAGTAAGAGTTAATCCCTCAAAGCTTTCAAGGCTATACCTACCGTAGGCTTTCCACTAGTGCAACAATGTCGTAAGCGTGTTTGAGAAAGCAGTTCCCTTAGCGTTAACCAGAAGTGCAGGCGGGGATGGGGACCAGGAAGCACGTGCCTCCCTTAGGTTCCGGGGGCCCTTCGGTTCCCTCGGAACTTGCGATTAAGGATAATACAGAGGTCTCATTCAGGGCCGGGCACTCCATTGCCGGCCAGAGGGCCCTATGCGCTGATCAGGGCCCACTAAGTTGATAAGGGCCTATCTTTCGGTCAGACTTCGCCAGTAACGCACAGTCGGCCGTGGCGGCATGGGCCTGAGGGCCCATTTTCCAAGCAAAGACAAAGCCGGAGCCAGCGATTTACATTACTCGGAGCCCCACAGCGCGTAACAGGGGCCATGTGGCATGAAGAGCCTAGGGGGCCCACCAGGTTCGACGATCAAGGGCACTTTTGGAGGGTCTAAGGACAAAAAGGGCTGGTCGGAGTCTTATTGAGGGGCCCGACCTGCGAAGACGGACCCTTAAGTAACAGTCATAGGGTCGTTTGCGCCGATCGGGGGCTCCCTGAGTCAACATGGGCTTATATGTTAGTCAGACACTGCCAGTACCGCACAGTCGGCCCCGTGTCGGTATTGGCCTGAGGACCCACTTCTCAATCAGCTGCAAAGCTGGGGCCAGTGATTTACATTGGTCGTAGCCTCTGCATCTGTAAGGGACCCACAGTGTCTAACAAAGGGCCCTGTGCTCGCAAGGGGCCTCGCGCCGACCAAGGGCAGTGCTTGATGAGACCCGAGGAGGAGCCCAGACGGTTCTCGGAAACCGACGATCAAAGGCCCGGTTGGAGGACATAACTAACCGAAGGACTGGCTGTAGACCACATAAAGAATCGCGGCCCGTGGGGTAGTGACCTGAAATATCAGTCCGAGGTTCTGTTGCACCTTTTGAGAAACCCCTGAGACAATGCGGGTGTCTAAGTCGGTAAGAGACCACGAAAACCGAACAGTCGGCTCCATGGCCATTTGGGGCCGTGCCCCCCCCCCCCTCCCCAAGAATCATTATCCAAGCAGAAACGAGGCCGGGGCCCGCGATTTGCAATGTTCGGGGTCCCTGACACAATGAGGGGCTCCTGTTTCTATTAGTGGTCACAGTGACGGACAGGGGTCCTGCGATGTCAAGTGGCCCTGAGTCGAAGCGGTGTTTGAGGGAGGCCCGAAGAGTGACCGAAGGGTCTCTCGAGACAAAAGATCAGGAGCCGGATAGGATGGCTGAAGGGTCCGAACGGCTGGCTGTAGGTCACATTAAGGACCCTGTCCATGGGGTCGCGATCTCAATTGTCAGTGGGATGATCTCTTGCACCGATGGGAATCCCTGAGACAGAGTGTTCCTGCATCTCGACCAGAGATCACAAACAACGAACAGTCGGCTCCGTGTTGGTCTGAGCTCTGTGGGCCCATTTCCCAAGCAAAGACAAGGCCAGGCCCGCAATTTACATTGGTCGTGCTCCTATATCGTTCAGGAGCCCACAGTGCCTAACAGGGTATTCTGCCAACCAGGAGTCTCGATTCGATCACAGGAAGATTTGCTCAACAGGGACGGGGACGCGAGCCCGAATGACAGAGGGTCTGTTGCATTGGCCGCGGCCTTCCGACAACTGAAAGAAACATACGAACTTATGATGAGTGCTCACATTCTGTAAGTAACGCCAGGGGGCGGGCGCCGGACGTGCAGCAATGGTCATCGCAAGATAATGCTTTTGAATGTCTTTCAAAATTGGTTCGTAAATTTCAGAGATCGCACTGGGCAAATATTTTTTACAACTTTGAGACTGCCATCTGAACAGATTAAAGCTACAGCAACACAGAAAATGGAGATTTCACCCTACTCTTTCAGTTCCACCTCAAAATTCCAGGACCATTTTGCGGTGTTGTAGGGACCATACGTTACTGTCAGAGACCAAAGACCATACGCTACAGTCTAGAATCCACACAGGTGAAATATGCCACTGGAATATCTCTAAGTGTGCGTTTTGATTTCCAAAAGCGTTCAAAGGTACCTCTTGCAGATGCGTCACCATTTTTGCCCATCTGTTGACAACGGCCTAATGTTAGCCACAGGGCCGACGCTGCACGGCTTAGGTACACTGCAACGCCTGGCGTCGAGTTTTTTGTTCTAAGATATGTCAGTGTGCATGCTCAAAACTACGTTACAAAATTTATACCACTAATTAACTCTGACTTAATGTTCAATGTACCCAAACAGACATGACTTGGTCATGTTAATACAAATTGTTAACCTATTTTGGTCTTCAATCTACTTTCACAGAATCTTTGCTAACTCTGTACAACCCACATACAAAATCTGACGGCATTTCTGAGTTCTACCCGTTGAAAAGAGTGTGCTGGATCACTGTAAAATGAAGAGCGCCGGGTATTTATTTCATGCAGTCACTGAACGCATGATTTTTCCATTTTATTCTCTGTAAACTGGAGCCAAAATTGCTCTCGTGGTAGCATCTGGCCTATATTTCCATTGAGAAGGTAGAACGTGTAATATATATATATATATATATATATATATATATATATATATATATCAGAAAAGCATGCTCTTAAAAGCAAATGGGCCATATACAGCGATTTTTTCGGGGACCCTTTTACTATCAGGGGGCCCTTGTCAACCCTGCGCCCCACCAATGCTCCTTGGCAAGGCTCTGGCTGCGCCCCTGTCGTTGGTGCGTGTTACTACAGTGCAATAATTTTAGGGGAAACTTGGAAGCATCGTCTGAAGTGCTGGTTGTTCACTGTCTCCTTACGGCGCTGGGTTGCGAAATGTATCCTCAAACGCCTAGGCATCCGCCGCGCGCATATGTGGTGCACATGAGCTGTGACAGATAAGCCAATCCAATCATTGCACTAGACGACCCGTGGTCAACTCCACATTAAAACGAAGATGAGCGCCAGTGTCATGGCATACTGCTGTTTGGGCCGATTAGTTTTTGTCACCTTTAGCTGCGATCCTCAGCAGTCAAATACACAGCGGCACGTTCGCATGCTCGGCGCCAGGAAGCCCCCAATGCGAATCTGTGACTTCATTGCCAATACGCAGCTGGCTCCATGCCGGCAAATGAGCGGGACATTTTATATCGACAAAAGCGGCAAATTTTGCAGCGACGAACGTTTTGAACGGTCGCAACCAAAGCACTGTGACAAAAAACATTGCAATTTGTTTGCCTCGGATTGCTCGCTTTAGGCGTCAGCGTGTTGGATTGCACTCGAAATCGTTTGGTTTGCAGAAAACGCGACGTAGTCGTTTCCCGTTCGACTGCTGGCGTCACCGCCTGTCACAGTGTTGTCACCACCTGTCAACCTCGCCTGTCTAGCGGTGTTGGGCTGGCTGATGAGCTGTAGACGGCACGCATACACTTGCACAGCACAGGCGATTTGATGTCGCTATCCGCCCGCGTTGTCGAGATCTGACATCAATCCTGCGATCCTCCAGAACCGACAGACCTGTAATTTGTGCACGTGTGCAAGTGCACGTGGAGTGCATCGATTCGCGCTTTTGTTAACACGTTCGCTCGCCGTTTTCTGTTTCGAAATATGCTGTTCCCGTTTCGCTGTAACCATTCCTTGCTGGACCATGAGCCGATTTTCGACAAACGTTCCCACGATTTTTGACCAGCGAATTTCGCGTGCTCCCGTGTTAAGCCATTGGTGCTGGTCTGCACATGCCGACGCGCCCCACCCCTTGGGTCGAGCCCCAAATTTAGTACAAAGATGTGACCCCCGACCCCATTTGTTAGTCTACTGTTGGACTTTTTCATCGCTTACGCCGTAAAAAATCCGAATACGATTTGCGTATTCTTGCGTATTCTCTTAAATGTCTGGGTCCGCCCCGGTATGAATGAGAACTATTTCAAGCGATATAGCCGCCCCAACCACCCACAACCAGTCCCCATGCCTTGGAGTGAACTGTGTCTCATGGTGGGGATGTTGTATCATTGTTTTTTTTTGCGTGAAGTAGCTGGCGTCGCAAGCATGCTGAATGCGTAGCGATATGCCAACAATATACGCTTTTCTCTGACAGCTCGTAAATCTTTATAATTGAGAGATAACATATTTGTCATTTTTAATCAGTCAATGTTTGCTTTACAACTCACCTACCACCTTCATTTCGGCTGCCCAGAT